TTGGGGACATATAGCTTATGTTGACATTCTTTGGTTTCGATTGCATCACAAGCAATCATCATCAGGTGTGACAATATTTTTTTACTGAAGTGTGGTTGTCACACCTGATGATGATTGCTTGTATTGCAATCGAAACGTCGTGATTTAATTGATTTTTATTTTTTATTATTTTTTCTTTCACCTACGTGACTTTACCGAAGGAACCAAAGAATATGGATCCTTGCAGTCACGAAAACTTCAAATCTAGAATGAGCTTATGTTTATTTTTTCTATTCAGCGGACAATGCCCACATTTTCAGCCGTTCTCGGGTTCTGGCTAAATTGTGTCTGTTCTATAATCCGCGCGTCCCTCTTCCTGTCCCTCAGTGTCGTTTCCAAGCGCGCTCCTCTCCACGCTGCTCTTTGTGCACTTTTCAACTCTTTGTTCGACTGCCTTTTTGTAAAATGGCAAAGTTTTAACAATCCGCAAGTCGCGGCAGGGCATATGCTGCGGCAGTATGAACAATTGCCTGACTAAGGAAGTTTGGGTAAACCAAAAGAATGTCACTGTAAAATTCTCAGGCCATCAAATCAATGAAGTTTAAATATATGCTAGTAGAGGTGATGTCAGGTCACACTGATGCGAGTTGCATTCAACGCAACGTCGAAATAACGTTCCATCCAAGACGTTTCGATTGAATGCAGTATATATGCTCAGAGTAAGAACAGGCATATATAAGGGAACTAAAGCCAATTTGAAACGTAACATTAATCGCGAAGAGATGCAGGTCGGCTTGAGCAGAACCCAGGGCTTAGAAGCCGATGGTGGGTGATGGATGAGACTGGGAATGGAATGGCAGCCACAGGAGGAATCACCACTGTGGAGATGGAGCCATGAAATCACAGGAGTGAGATTAATCATGGGGCCTTCATTCAGCACTGGTGAGATAATGCACTACACCATACACTCCAGTTTTTTTATTTTTTTATTTTTCCCATGTAAGGCCCACTGAGCTATATTGCTCTTTTTTACATAAGCCACCTAACCACAAGTGATAGCCCAACGAAGTGGCTTATCACGTGGAAATGTATATCAGCCAAATACTGTTAAACGCATGATGTTGATTCTAAATGTGAAGGGGAAAAATCAGAGGACCCGGCGAAAAATCTGCGCCACCACGGGGAGAACATGCAAACTCCAAATCTACAGCAGCAGGTGTCAGGATCGGGATGGAACCCACGACCTCCTGTATACCAGGCGAGGTAGTTAACATCTCCTAGACACCGTGATGATGATGAGAGAGAGACACGCAAACTCCAAATATACAGCAGCAGCAGGTGTCAGGATCGGGATGGAACCCACGACCTCCTGTATACCGGGCGAGGTAGTTAACATCTCCTAGACACCGTGATGATGATGAGAGAGAGACACGCAAACTCCAAATATACAGCAGCAGGTGTCAGGATCGGGATGGAACCCACGACCTCCTGCATACCAAGTAAGGTAGTTAACATCTCCTAGCCACTGCCGCGCCCAAATAATGGCTGACGATGATGAAAGTAGCAGCATTGATTACATTAAAATGACAATTATTGTATTCTTCAACGAGTCTTGTTTGATTTACGGGATATAAGGATATCTATGTATAAAATAATATACGTGTAAAAAAAATTACCTGCGTTCGTCTGTGCATATTTTTTATCCCATTCTCAAAAGATCATGACCAATGCACATGAGCGTACACAGGGTTCCGCATACGATGTCTTAACTCGCATACACGATTTGTGCCTCCAGCGAAATCACAAGTCAGTTATAAATTTAGGTTAAATTGTTTTAATTGTTAAATAAAATAAAATTTAAATATGCCGACAATTGCATACATTTGATTTGTGAAGTCTTTAACAAGCGCACGGCAACACTGGTCCGAAGTGATCGGTGCACGTGTTTTGACCCAGCACTGCCAAGCAAAACAAATTTAAATGTCCCCTTCTAAAGTGGTCTGCTCCAGAATTAACACCGGCTGGGCATGGTACGAGCCAGTCCAGCAGTGGTACAGCACGCGGGGTGGTACATTCCACTTCCTGTTGGGAGCTGCAGAGAAAGGTGGAAAATATTTTTTTTTTAATTCCACAACGGGTGGCTGCAGCGCTCCAATTATTTTGACTGCAAATGGAACAACGTGCAGGGTTTTACGTTCGTTTTTCCGCTTCTGCCGGCCGGCAGAAGAAAAAAAAAGCCAGGGTCATGATAAACAAAACTCGACAAAAGGGGCCAAAGACGACCCAGCAAAAGAAAAAGCCGCGTCATGTGCCAGCATGAACCCCACCCAGCATTAGTGCTTTGGAAGGGCTTTTTCTGACAGTCTACAACAGTGGTTCTCAACCGGGGGGGGGGGGGGGGGGCGCGCGGACACCCCCCGGGGGGCACGTGAAGTAATTTATAAATGTGTGAAATTATATCACGCGTGAGATTCACCGGTGAATAATGTTGCATGCATCTGCAAAATATAAAATAACTACGATAAAATGTAAATCCTTATGGTAACCTATAACGATGTAAAAAGGCCTTTCTCAACTCATCGATCGTACACAATGCGGGTTTTGCAAGAGTAACCGGGCGAGCATGAACACATTGTGTCACGTTGTGCGGAGCGTCCGTTGACTTCGTTTTTTTATTCACTTGCAGTTAACTAGCCAGTTAGGACGCCTCGCAAAATGGACAATTGGTGAAAATATTGACGCTCGTCATTCATTCGTTGATTTCTCAGAACCATGTTGGGTCAGGCGAGGGGAGAGGGTGGGGTACCCGGTGGAAACTAAAATTCAGCAAGGGGTGGGTGGAGGGGGGGGTGGTGAAGTAGCCACAGAAAAAAATGTTGAGGAGCCAATTGGTCTACAACACAACAGCCATTCTAAATCCAGTGGGGGGGACGGGGGGACGAACGACTGTGAGGAGCGCATGAACGCCGTGTCTACCTGCAACTCCAGGGGGCCAGCGGACTGCCCACTCTCAGAAAGCTTCACGCGGTCGGAGCCCTCTCCGCCTCTACCCCGAGTGCAACTGCTTGTAAAGCCGCAGCTTCCTCCTGCAGTCGTGACCCGTCCGGCTTCGGGGCTTGCGTGCCCTCCTCGTGCGCCGAAAGAATTCCACTCGCAAAGGTGGCGTGGCTGCCTGGGTGGCAAGGGTGTCTTGGAAAACCCCCACCCCGAGTTGGTGGATCATGCGGAAATGGAGACCTCTGCAAAGCACCTATTTTGCAAGGGTTACAAAATGCTTGCGTGGGAAACTACAGCAAGTAGGTTCTTGACAATCTGATCTGTGTGTGTGTAAGTGTGTGTGTGCCTTTCCCTGAGAACTGTGGTTTCCTCCCACAAAGCAACAATTCTCAAAAAAATTATTAGTTGAAGGTATAGAAGCAGGACCCGTTTAAAGGAAAATATCAAGACTCAAGCGAGGCTTTCATTGGTAAAGAAATGCATTATGACTTTTTTAACACGTAGGCTTTCGCAACCAATATCCATAAGTGGATTTTTGGGTTAGATCGCCTAAATATATAAGTGTCATTAAACCCGCCACCACCTGACACAGCAAACTAGTAAGGGTTGTCACGTAAACAGAACGTGCCAATTCTTCACGAGTACAGCACACCGGTGTATTGGAGAGCCAAGCCACAACATTTACAATCTGAGTACGACGTTTCGCCAGTAATTACAGCTAGCTTCATCAGTCGACGGGCAGATTTCGTTCCTTATATAGAGGCATAGATGTGGTGACCACGCTTCTGTGCTCTTGCACCACGTGGGGGGGGGGGGGATTACTGAGTCAACGTACATTACGCATGTGCATTATGCGAGCCCTTTGATCTTGTCCTTCCTGTCTATTGTGTGTATTAAAACAGCCGTACCCAACGGTAATCCCTATTGAAGTAAGCTGCCCTTCATAGGCATGCATTTAAATAATGTATTATTTGATTATTCGCTTCCACGCAGCACTAAGGCGGTAGCTATCCGAACGGTTACAATTATTTTTATTTCTTTCAAATTCGATAGATTCTCTAATTAGTCTTGGCCAGTAGTAGCTAGTTTTGAGACACAGGCCGTTGGGGCAAGGTGCTGTTTGCGAGCAGCACCTACGAAGGCCGGCACGGCACGTGGGGGGGTATGTGGACAGCACCACGCCCGGCCGCCTTTGTCTCCCCCAGTGGCGATGTTTACCTACTGCACCGGGTTACTCATTTGAGGCCGAGTCGACCTAAGGGAGGCCCCGGACCAGTTCAGATAATCGTCACCGGTGTTGTCCGTGAACGGGAATCTAACTCGGGTCGCTGGGTTCGTAGCGCAGCGCGCCAATTACTGCACTGCTACTCCCGCGGTGGGCCACACATTAACACACACACGCTGAAACACCTCGTTCACTTCTGCCACTGCAAGAGGCCCTTGTCGTGATGGAAGTGAGTGAGCGTGCTAAAGTTAGAAACACACCGTGGCCAAGTCATGAATGTGCATTATTTCTTGTGGTTTTTGTTGCTTGACTTGCATCACACTGGGATTTTCTGCACACAGCGTTGGTGTACGGTGCTTTTTTTTCAGGAATATTTGGCTGTTTTTACTCTTGGATTTTCTGTTTGCACAGTCACATAGTCACTTTAAGATGTTTTTCTTGTTCGTGATTTTGTTTTTTTGTTTGTTGTGGTTGCACCCGATTCAAGAGCCAAATGGCTCACAGGGCTATACCAAAATAATTCAACTGAAACTGAAATAAATAAATAAATAAATACCCTCGAGTCCTCGATTAGCGTGGCTAAGGTCCCTGCTGTGATGGATAAATATAATTTGCAGGCCGCTTTCATGTGGTCATACCCATATGACGATGGGCTGAACAATATGAACTCGCAAGCTGTATCCGGCCAATAGGCCATAGGGTTCCCCAATCCAGATTTAGATGCTGTATAGGATGTTGAAATTGTGATTGTTGTTGTTGTTTGTGATGTGGGGGACATGAAGAACTTCTCCATCCATACCTGGTGTCGGCCGTGCCGAGGGTCGGAGGTGACAGCACAGTCTGGGTATCCACCATGTCCACCACGCAGCGGGTGTTCCCAGACAGCTCTACAATGCATAGCACACACGCCACACCGGTCACACAGCAGCACACCCATGGTCACAGCAGCACGCCCACGGTCACAGCAGCACACCACACCAGTCACACAGCAGCACGCCCACGGTCACACAGCAGCACACCACACCGGTCACACAGCAGCACACCTCACCGGTCACACAGCAGCACACCACACTGGTCACACAGCAGCACACCACACCAGTCACACAGCAGCACACCACACCGGTCACACAGCAGCACACCCACGGTCACAGCAGCACACCACACTGGTCACACAGCAGCACACCACACCGGTCACACAGCAGCACACCCACTGTCACAGCAGCACACCCACTGTCACAGCAGCACACCCACGGTCACACAGCAGCACACCACACTGGTCACACAGCAGCACACCACACTGGTCACACAGCAGCACACTCACTGTCACAGCAGCACACCCACGGTCACAGCAGCACACCACACTGGTCACACAGGGGCACGGCCACGGTCACACAGCAGCACACCACACTGGTCACACAGCAGCACACCACGGTCACAGCAGCACACCCACGGTCACACAGCAGCACACCCACGGTCACACAGCAGCACACCCACGGTCACACAGCAGCACACCCACGGTCACAGCAGCACACCAGTCACACAGCGCCACAGTGCACAGTGCCACAGCAGCACACCCACGGTCACACAGCACCGCAGTCCACGCCACCACAGCAGCACACCCACGGTCACACAGCACCGCAGTGCACGCCGTCACACCAGACACACAGCACAGCAGTGCACACCAAACGATATAGCACAATAACACTGCACCACACTGCTCCACACTGCACTGCACACCATCACACCCAATCACACCCAATCACACGTAACTGCATCACACCAAACTAGAAACATATCACTACGCCACACTGTGCTATGAACCCGGTGACCAGTGTTCGATTGCCAGCAAGTGATATCAGTAGGGAGCGATACCTGAACCGGTGCTGGGCTACCCCACCTTTACCAAACCACACTGGCCTGTGTGAGAAAGTATGGTCAGACAACCCCCATGTACGTATGTGTAGTGTCAAGGATTCAGAGAAGAGAGTTTTTAGAAGGCACTTTCTCTATTAACGACTTTCACAGTCTCGTCCGCACACTCTCCACAGTAGCTCAGCCCAGCCTGTACACACTGACGGCGCTGACTGAGATAGCCAACTCCTATCCCTAGTGGCACAACATCTAGCGGAGACGTTTAGCGACGACGGCGACAAAACGACAGCAACGACGAGACGACTCCATTCCCAGAACCGGCAGCCTCGAGCCCCCGCTCTCGGCTCCTTTTATGCTCCCAGCGCGGCCGGGCTCTGCCCTGACCGCGCCTCCCTTCTCGAATCCGCTAGCAGGTTCAGGGGTCTCCAGACGGGGTCCTCCATGACCCCTGACATAGTTCCTCCCCTCTGCCCACACACCGTGCACGCCCTCACCGGACGTGTGTACCGTCTGTTCACCACAGTTGCTGCCGCTCTCCACCAGTCGGCGCTATTGCACTACATATGTATAACTTGTTTCGCACCGTGTGTAGCCAACCGTGTTAATGGGAGGTGGGGACAGGCACAGCATCAGATTGACAAAGGGCTGCAAAATTTAAGTAACATTTGTTTTACAGATTGCGGACAAATCTCCGTTGTGACAACACCGTTCACAACTAGAGGGAAATCAAAATATCCAGCGCACTGCGGTACGGAAGAGAGTTGGTGCTGCGAATGACCAAACAGAAAGCAGCCGAGGGAGTTCCTTTCAGCGGCGCCCGTGACGTTGACGCCGCCGTCTCGACGACCGGCACGGCCAGGCAGGACCCCACTCTGCCCAGGCGATCCATCGCTCAGCGAGAGCTCCACGTGTCGCACTTATTCATCAGCCAGGCGCATTGTTCTGGCAACACGTGACGCAGAATGATGCAGTGGTCTCGCGTTCGCCTTCACTTCAGCATTGGCATAGTTGGCTATGTACGGTGGGAAAGAAGTTCAACATACTCCTGTACTTACAAACAATCGACTTACAAACTTGCAGAGATACGAACAAACCTGGTCCATATGTCCAGTTGCCTGTTTGGACCGAGCGTCGCAAGTTCAACCAACCCCACGCAATAGATGGGGATGGTGGCATCTACATCTGCAGAACCTGAAGAACCAGTGGCATCTACATCTGCAAAACGTGAAGAACCAATGGCATCTACATCTGCAGGAGATTATACAACTTTTAAAGCCATTCCCTGTGATTAGTGTACATGCCGTACAACATATTTGGAATCGACAGGAGTAAAGTTGGACTCATGAACAGACCTCTGGAACCATACTCGTTCGTAAGTAGAGTCTCTGTACTTACATCCAAAGCCTGGTAAAGAACGTTTGAGTGGAGCCTGTTGCAGATGTCATAAAATTCACCACCTGAGCAAACCCTTGAGACAACACAAATATTTACACGAAAGCTTGACGACACAAAGCTATTAAACACACAGTCAAGCCCATACACGGATGAAATAAGAACACAAATCATGTAGAGCAGTGAGTGACGCAGTGGTTTCGCGCACTGCGAGATGAACCGCCAACCTGAGTTTGATTCCCGGCCCTGGCTTACATGAGTCGAGAGTGATATCTCGGACCGATCCTCGATCCTCCCCCACCACCACCAACCCATACTGACCAGTGCCGTGAAGTATGGTCGAACAACCATCATGATTGACACGATGCGAGCAGACCTTCATCCAGCAAAGGATTAAGAAAGGCCTAAATATTCTTGGTTCTTTCGGTAAAATCACGTAGAAGGGAAATAACAAAATAATACAAATAAAAACAATAAAATTATCACGACGTTTCGATTGCAACACAAGCAATCATCATCAGGTGTGAAAACCACAGCAAGAAAATTTGAAAAAAGTGGCGGTTTTTTTCTTAACGTTTTTTTCCAAATTTTTCAAATTGTCTTGCTGTGGTTTTCACACCTGATGATGACGATTGCTTGCGTTGCAATCGAAACGTCATGAGAATTTTATTTGTATTATTTTCCTTATACGTGACTTTACCGAAAGAACCAAGAATATGAATGCCTGCAGTCACGAAAGCTTTAAATCGAAAGGTCTAAATGTTTATTCATTCCCTTACCAATCATGGTCCATAACGTCACTGTGAGGCTTACTTTGGATAATCAATTCTCTTTGGTGTCTTGATACTGGAGGTTGCAACCACTGCATGATATATGATGCTCTTTAAATATAGCCAGGTGAGAGTCTGTTGGGATAACCCCTATTGCATGTGAAGCCATAGTTATTCATTATTCACAGTAATACAAGCACGTTCTTGTAGACAACGTTTCATAAATATTGATCACGCGGATATCACTCCCAAAGTATTTTTTTTACGCCCAAAAAAAAGCTGAAGTCAAAATGGTTAAAGTTATAAATGTTGAAAAAACAAAACAATTACCAGAGACAGATAATAATCTTTTGTAAATAAAACATCCGAGAGGGAATTTAACTCAACGTAACTTTCAGGTTCAAGCCCGATTTGCACGGTTGTGCTTTTGGGAACTTGCCACTGAGATGAAGATACATCTTGGGAGAATTTCTTCCATCAGTGTTGCATCAGCTCACATCAGGCCTTAGATGACGAAACCACGGACTTCTGATTTTACGCGTATAGTCTGCTCTTGCCCACTGCATGTATGTATGTGTGTTAAACGTCTTACGCACCGTGCGTAGCCAACCGCGCTAAACGGAGGCGAGGGGGAAGGACGACAAACTAAACACAAAAAGCAGTTCTAAAGAAATTAATTTTCAACCTAGATGATTTAAAAGAACACAGCTCCAGTAGCTTCCTAACATCGGTCGGTAGAGCGGTCCAGGGGGACGCAGAAGGGCATCTGAAAGCGCCGCGCGATGCAGTGACCATCTTTGTTCTACGGTTAGCCAAACGCTGCTGCGAGGATGACCGGAGTTTGCATGATGGTTTATGCTCCACTTCTATTAACGATAAGCAACCTATATTCTTGGTTCTTCCGGTAAAGTCACGTAGAAGGGAAATAATAAAATAATAAAAATTAAACAATTAAATTCTCACGACGTTTCGATTGCAACACAAGCAATCGTCATCAGGTGTGAAAACCACAGCAAGAAAATTATTTTATTATTTTCCTTCAACGTAACTTTACCGAAAGAACCAAGAATATGAATCCCTGCAGTGACGAAAGCTTTAAATCGATAAGCAACCTGGTGTTGTTGTTGTTGTTGCTGCTGGCAGCCTGCAACTTCCCACTGCTGGGCAAAGGACTTCCGCAATTTGTTTCCATTCCTTCATTTCCAACATGGTTCTTGTCCAAAAGCAGCCTCTGAATATTATTCAATTTCATCTTCCATCATTACCTCTTTCTTACTCGGCTTCCTTAGCCTTATCTTTTGGCAAAGTTAATGTCTTTTTGATTTAAAGCTATCGTGACTGCAGGGATTCATATTCTTGGTTCTTTCGGTAAAGTCACCACGTAGAAGGGAAACAATAAAATGATAAAAATATAAAACAATAAAATTCTCACGACGTTTCGACTGCAACACAAGCAATCATCATCATCAGCAAGAAAATTTTCTTGCTGTGGTTTTCACACCTGATGATGATTGCTTGTGTTGCAGTGGAAACGTCGTGAGAATTTTATTGTTTTATTATTTTATTGTTTCCCTTCTACGTGGTGACTTTACCGAAAGAACCAAGAATATAAAGTTAATGTCCTTGGCTGCCATTTAGAGTATTCAGCGGTTTTAAGAGTCCTAAAATTGTCTGGTATAAGAGCTTGCAGTAACCCGCAGTAACCCGCAGTTCTTCGACGCACTGCGTGCGAAGGTGTTTCTCTGCTGCGATGGCGCAGCAGGGGATTTTTACAAATTATTCCTCGAAAAAAGTCGCTTGCGAATTTCTGCACGTCACACCTAAACTAAACTAAGGCTAAACATTTTTATTTT